GAATATAACTGAATGAAAGACAAGGGCAATCCAATGTCGCGGAATAAATAAGAAAGCCAAACCAGTTCTGAGGTAGCTGTAGATAAAGCCTTATATTCGGCCTCAGTACTTGACTGTGAGACACTAGCTTGCTTCTTAGCAGACCAAGAAATGAGATTGTTGCCTAAAAATACACAATAACCCATAGTGGAGCGTCGTGTATCAGGACAACCAGCCCAATCAGCATCAACAAATCCAGTGAGAGATAAAGAAGGTGTAACAGAAAATTGTAAACCAAACCCGAGAGTGCCTTTCAAGTAACGAAGTATGCGTTTAGCTGCCTGTAGATGAAGATCGCGAGGACAATGCATAAACTGGCATACTTGTTGGACAGCATATGTAATATCGGGACGAGTGAAAGTGAGATATTGTAATGCTCCAACAAGTTGACGATATTGAGCAGGATCCTCCAAAAGAGTACCATCATGAATGGACAACTTTCGACCACTGGGGACAGGAGTGGAACATGGTTTACAATCAAGCATCTTCATTTTCGATAGGAGAGAGAGAGCGTATTTGGTTTGAGTAAGCTGAAGCGAAGAGAAAGTTCTTTTTGCTTCTATGCCAAGAAAATAATGTAAGGGCCCCAAATCCTTCATAGCAAAGCGAGAGGACAAATAGCGAATCACAGATCTCAACAAAGAATCGGATGAGCCAGTGAGAATAATATCATCAACATAGACAAGAAGAAGCACGGTGCCATGGGAGCATTTAAGGACAAACATAGAAGGATCTGCTTTGCTACAAATGAAACCAGCGTCCATAATTGTAGAGCTAAAGCGATGAAACCATGCTCTTGGAGCTTGTCGAAGCCCATAAATGGCCTTGTGTAATTTACACACATGATGCGGATAAGTAGGATGAACAAATCCAGGAGGCTGTGCCATATAGACTTCCTTAGAAAGAACACCATGAAGGAAAGCATTTTTAACATCAAGTTGGCGAATACTCCATTTCATAGAAACCGCAATAGAGATAATAGTGCGAAACGTAGTAGCTTTAACGACGGGGCTAAATGTTTCATCAAAATCAATACCTTCTTGTTGAGTATACCCCTGAGCGACAAGGCGAGCTTTAAAACGCTCAACAGAACCATCTGATTTTTCCTTGATTTTGTAAACCCATCAACTGCCAACAATATTCATTGAAGGATGGTGAGGAACTAAAGTCCAAGTATTATTTTGACGGAGGGCATCATATTCTTCTTGCATTGCACGAACCCATTTTGAATCCGAGGATGCCTGTCAATACGTTGTGGGCTCACGTAAAGAGGATTGGAGGTGAGCTGTAAGTGCATAGTCAAGAGAATATTTACTAGAAGGGCATCGTGTACCATCCTTTGAACGAGTGACCATATAGAATGATGAGGTACTGGTGGTGGAGGAGGATGAGAGACAGTAGTATCAGAAGAAGGGGGAGCAGACGGAACAATTGGAGAATTTGGAGCAACAAACTCTTGCCCTGTAAGGGTAGTCGAGGCGGAGACATCTTGGGTATCAGTACCATCAAGACTAGAAGTGGCTGAAACTGGATCAGTTCCTGAGGTAATGTGAGGCAACTCTGAATTAGAAGATGAATGAAGGATTGGTTGTAATAAAGGAAATGTCAGAACCGAAGAAGGCTCCTTAAGAGTTGTTGAGCTGCTGTCATTGGCAATTTTCTGAAAAGGAAAAGTAGTCTCATCAAATACAACATGGCGGGAGACAAACATACGATTTGTATGAGGATCAAGGCACTTATAGCCTTTATGAACGCTGCTGTAACCAAGAAAAACACATTTCCTGGACTTAGGATCAAGTTTGTCCTTTCGATATGGTCCAAGAAATGGATAACAGCTGCAACCAAGAGTCTTGAGATGTGAATAATCAGGAGCATGACCAAATAAAATCTCATAAGGAGAACAATGGTTAAGCACTGGAGTAGATAAACGGTTGATAAGGTAGACAGCCGTGGAAAATGCCTCCAACCAGAAACGACGAGGTAAATGAGCCTGATACATTAAAGTGAGTCCCATTTCTTGAATGTGCCTGTGTTTCCGTTCAGCCACTCCATTTTGTTGAGGTGTATGAGGACATGAAATTCGTTGAGAAATTCCACAATCATCCAAATAATTCTTAAAAACCCCTTGAACAAGTTCCTTAGCCCCATCACATTGGAAAAAGCGAATTTTAGCGTTGAATAAATTCTGACTCATTAACTTAAAATGTTGGAAGCAACTGATACTGTCTGACTTAGCTTTCATAGGATATAACCATGTGTAACGACTGAAATCATCAATAAAAATTATATAATAACGAAAGCCGGAAACACTAGATTGGGGTGAAGGTCCCCAAATGTCACAGTGAATGAGATCAAAAATAACAGAGCTTGTTCTAGTAGATAAAGCAAATGGTAATCGTCGGCTTTTGCCAATCTGACAGGCTTCACAAACTGAGGGCCAAGCAGACTTTGAAAAATCCTTATCTATTGGAAGTTTAGACATGACAGGAGATGAAGGATGCCCCAAGCGTCTGTGCCACAGAGTTCTGGAATCTGTATTAGAGCAAACCGCAGCTACCTCTTTATTTCTGGAAACTTGATTGGGAAAACCAGATTGCTCACCATGACCTATAGGAATGGGATACAGATTTCCTTTAACTGGACCTTCCATGAGTGTCTTCCGAGTACGCAGGTCCTTGATCACATAACCCCATGGGAATAACAAGAAAACACAATTATTATCACGAGTAAATTTTGCAACAGACAATAGATTCTCTTTGATGCCAGGAACATGCAAAATATTTTTCAATAATAATGAATGAGATGGAGTTGGAAGAATACCATCACCCGTATGTTTAATAGGAAGAGAATTTCCGTTACCCACATAAACTTGATTGTTGCCTGCATGAGCCATTGGGTTTTGAATCACCCCTGGAATATGTGTCATATGACTAGTTGCTCCTGAATCTGCCAGCCAATGAGGAGATACATTCTCAGTGAATGAGTCATTAGAGGTGTATGGACCTAAGTGCATACCAGCAAAGTTTGAAGAAAGAGATGCTTGGTGGCCATAATTATTTTGATTTTCACGGCGAGAATAAGAACTGCAAGTATCAGCAGCATGTCCCTCAGTGTGACAAAGTTGACAAATCATGCGACGATTGCGAAAACCACGATCAAATGCTCGATCAAAGCCACGACTATAATTACGTCCATTGCCACGACCAGTGCTATATCCGCCATTATGATTGCCACGTCCACCGCGATAACCATTTCCACGATTTCCAAAACCACCA